CGGTGGGCGACATGGAAGACGGACTGACCGGAGGGGTAGTGGATGGAGCCTTGCCCCGACGATTTGCCGCTACGCTTGGCGGGAGACATGTGTCGCGAAGAGGAGAAAGCGGTTGTGGATGTTGGTAGTGCACGTCGTGGACGCTGTTGTGCAGCGCCGACCACGTACAGGAGGCGATTGTGGTGAAGTGCTTTCTCAGAAATAAGAGAATGGTCCTGACGCGGGGTCACTATCCCGAATCAGTGACAATTTCAAGTGATTACAGAGGATTTGGGTTGTTTGGCACGGGTGCAAGTTGCCTGTGGTGGATTAGCCAGGGCGAGCAGCACCCCGTATGGAATGACGATGGATCTGATATGAGCGATGTACGAGAAGGCAAGATCCACCAAGACTTACCTCGGATCCACCCTTACCTGGATTCACTAAGATGGATATGGGATATACTATACAAGAGTGGATCGAGTGTGGATCCTATGAAGGAAGGATGGTCGGTGCCCTCTGAAGGTGGATCTAGTAGCCACGGCTAATGAAGAGTCAAGATCCACCGCGAGGTACCCCGGATCCCATACTTCCGAGTTCGGATCCAAGGAGGGAGGATCCCGCCTGGAGGGACCTGGATCCAGGGTATAGGGATGAGGGATACAGTGGATCTCGGACTTTCGTGGGACAACGGAGATCACAGACGGTTGCGAGATGATGTTGGATGATTGGAGAGCCCGGATCCACGGCGAGTGTACCATTACAGTGAGGTGGATCCAAGCGACCTGGATCCGGATGAGTGTACCCATAATAGGGTGACCATGATGATTACGTCATATATCCGGTGGATCTGAAGATAACACAGCTGGGATGATGGGTCAAGGGAAGAAGGGACATGCAGCCGAGCCTGGTAAGGGATTTAGCAGATGAAAGACATAGAAGGTAGAAACCCAGGCAGGTATAGGCTTAAATATCAATACAGAACTCAATTTGCACAGTATCACGCAAGTGCCTTCCTGCCCTCAAGAACCGGAACTACATTTGGCCGTACGAGCTCGGAGAAGGTTGGGAATTGCGAATCTAGTGTTGGTAGTGATAACTGGATAATACATTGGCCAGATCCTACAACCTAGTGAGCTTTTCCTTTACTCGTGCAGATCCGACAGGTTAACCGAATTTACTACTTGGTCGGTTACACCCTAGAGGCTCTCAACTTTCAAGATCCCGTCACAGGAGGCGGCAAGTACGACTTAAAGGACAACACAAAGGCAAGGGAACACACCCGCAAGGCAACCCTACGGCCAGATCCACGATCTAGGCCCCGGATCCATAAGCTCGAATATTCGCTTAGGATACGGAACCATCCACGGACGCAGAGTGAAGATTTTCCACTGCTGCTCCACCCCATCCCCACGTCTCGCCAAGACACTCAAGCTTCACCACTTGAACTCTTCGGAAGTTACCGAGAGAGCAGATCCCGCCCTACCGACGGGTACACAAGGTGAGGAAAGTTCAGCAGAACACGGATCATCGGGGGACCCCCTCCGTTAGTCGGTGTCTGGGCGCAGTTGGTAAGTTGGATCTGGCAATCTCGCAGATTTTGCTGATCCCGCTACACCACAGTAGCCTCAGTACTCATTCCGGTAAATAAATGTTCATGAATGGCAGTGTGTAGCAAATTGACTTTCCATTGCTTCATCTCGTGGATGCTCAGCTGTGTATCGGGTGTACCGACAACGTAAATGCCCTTTGTGGCGTTCCGAAGAGCTGCTGTGAGTCGTGGGAAGAAGAGACTGCTGACTAATTCCACGTAAATTGTGCTGTACTCGCTGACGATGAACACAGGCCCGCCCACAACTCGTATGGTCTCCGTTAGCAGCTCCATGATGCGGATTTGGAAGTATTTAAAATGGGTCACCTACAGGTCTGGTCTCGATCGGGTCCCGAGACCAATTTGCGAGACCAGACCGACAGTGAATTCAAAGGATTGCTGCTTTTTATTTGCTGCTAGGCTCGGAACAAAACGAGGAAACCTTCCTAGCAGCCCAGACACGTATCATATCGAACCTACTTCCTACTGCAGGTGAGTCCTCGTGAAACACCTGTTGCAATGCCCCAGCCTACACTACTGCAGAATCACTCGCGTCGTCTCCCTCGTATTCGAACGGAAACTCGTGGGCATGTTCGTCGCTGTTGTTGGCACTGCTGTCTGAGTCGCTGTTGCTATCCGCTGCCTCCGCCGCATCATCAGCGCTATCCTCTGCCTCCGCTGCATCATCAGCGCTATCCGAATCATCCGAGTAGTCCTCGACGCCCAGCCCAGATTTGACACCTTCCTCAGCAGCGTCAGACTCGTCCGTCGATTCAAATTCAGCTGCACGTGGCAATTGAACGTCGTAGCGGGGGCGCTTGCGTGCTCGTGAGGGAGTGTCCGGGCGGCGCTGTACATGTCCACGTGCTAGCCGCTCAATTGTGCTGACGAAAACAGGTAGCGTAGGGTGTGGTGCGCTGAATGCCCCGTTCATCTCCCGATTAAAACGTTCTAACGGATTATTAGTCAGGTTCACCAGGCCACGATCAAGTCCATGGACGTTCCAAACTTCAGGACCGTATTTTTTGATCCACACCTTGGCAAAATAACGCCAGAAACGTTCCCACTTAGTTGCAGAGTAGACGATGCCAGCTTCATCGCACTTCTCCCGAATACTCTGCTGAACAAAGCGCACACCCTTCGTCTTGATATGCTTCCGTTTGATAACGGTAAGCATATCAAGAACACCAGGTTGCATAGCAATTCAAATTTGAACCTCAGGAATCGCCAGCTTCTTCATCTTTCGCCTCACCGCCTGCTTAAAGTAAAAAAAGCAGCCGATGCGCTGTGCTTCTGGAAATTGCACAGCAACAGCATTGATAAGAGCAGCCTCAAAGTCGCATACTATCGCCGCCGGTCGAATCTTCTCGTCGGTGCATTCAACGATGAAGTTGAAGATATTCCAATACGTATATTGTGTTTTCGACGTGCAGAGGATGTAGAAAATAGGGACATAGAGCCCAGTTGCCTGGTCGAGTACCATGATAACCACGCATTGCCGAAACTGCGATGGGACGCAACGGAATGTTGCGTCCACGAAGATCGTTGTGCCAGCGTACATTAGCAGACGGATTAACTCGGGATGAGCCCACCCGATAATCCTCTGCGGCTGGTTTGGGTTTCGCTGCATGTCTTCGTAGTAGATGTGATGGAACTGAAAAAAACGAAGAGTTGAGCTCTTCACCAGTGACAGCGGCGGTATCTCCAGACGCCATGCACTTCTCCGCCGTAGTGATTGCACCTTGTATTAAACACACGAGTGATCACCTGCTCTCGCGTGAGACCGACGACAGCACGGCCAGGCTCTGCTTCAGTGTAGAACTCTTGATTGACAATATCCCACACGTGACGAGCAGTACTCGACAGCTCCGAAATTGCAAGAGCGTCAATTCGACGCTTCATCTCCTCGACGACGTTGGCCTCTTGTGCAGCGAATGCAACCCTAAGCTGGCAGGTGTGCTCGACAAGGACGGTGTACGCATCCTGTAGTGGCGTCCGTTCAGCTTTAGCTCGGCAGCCCGTCCGCCGATAGCTGCTGCAGCGGTAGGTAGCCTTTCGCCGTGAAATGCGCGCCCGTGTGAACTGAAAGCCGTCGATGAAAACAACCGTAGCAAATTGGGCCGAGCGTTGAGCATGCTGCGGAGCTGGTGGAGGGTCGGGTGGCCCCGACTCGATCGCTGGGGTCTCTGCCATCGTATTGACTGTTAGGAAGATGGAGACTGCTCGCAAAATCCTGTGAATATCTGCCGAACAACGGCGCACCATTCATCGTTACGATGCGTGGCAACCACTCGTTCAACTTGACAAGCACGAGGTTGTGTCGGCTCTCAACTCATCCCCAAGATTGCAACTAATGATGATTTGGTTTGTGTTTGCAGACATTCTTTTATTTTCGTGATTGTATTAGTGACGCTGAAAGGAGACCCGATGGAGACCAGACCGACAGTATCGTAGCTGCACTGCGGACCCGAAAAAGACCGGACCCGTAGGTGACCCATTTTAACGCTAACCGCGGATTTCGATGGCCGCAAGTGACTGCAATAATTCTGGCGAGCTCTGGCATCGCACAGAAGCTATCTTGACTGCTGTGTGGGAGGCACCGAGACCCAGATAGACAGCCAGCAAGTCCATTGGCACAAGCACATTCTTCCAGTTGATCACGGCCATTTGCTCTGTTGCCAGAGACGCGTTCATGCGAGTTTGAAGCTTATTGCGTTCATTGTACGGAGTTGCAATGCGTAACGATGAGGTGCGAGCGCGCGAGGCCATAGTGCGTTGATAAACCGCGGTAAATTTGGAAATGAACCAAATTTGGAAATGAACCAAATTTACCGCGGTTTTATCAACGCACTGAGGATTCAAGTGACCATCGCTCCTGTAAACTTCAGCTAAACATCATTTACCTTTTTTGGACATTTTGAACCAATCACCGATCTAATTTCTATTGCATAGACTCCACCATCCATTCATCATGGCGCCGCTCGAGGACACGTCCAGCGTGGTGGGCGCCACGACGATGGACGCCTTCTCCGTGTCGTTCCCTGACCAAGTGGAGCAAGAGCTCGGAGCTGCGTATGGCGAGCCGCATTGGACCAATATCAAGCGTGCTCTCGCCCGGCCGTACGTCTACAGCAGTCCAACTTGCCATTTTTTAAGTGGACTAACTCTCTGTGCAGACCCGCGTTCACTGCCGTTCGTGTCAACACATTAAAGCTGTCGCGAGATGAAGCTCTCCAAGCTCTGAAGCCTCATCTCGACGGATTTAACGCTCAATTGGCTGCTTTGGACGCCAGTCGTCAGCCTATCGAGGCCTTAGCCCATGCGTCTCTGCCTGACGTGCTGATGATCCCATCGTCGCCCAGCGGACAAGCTTCTGTTCAGTATAACCCGGAATTCAAAAGTATAGTAGTGGATCGACTCTGCGGCGAAGCGGTGCTGCGTGGCAGCGACATCTTCGCTCGAGGAGTCATGAGCGCCAGCGCCGGTATCAACGCCGAAGACGACGTCAATGTCTTCGTCGATCTGGACCACAACCACACAAGAGGCAGTGATTTTGCAACGCACAATGGACGCAAGCTGCTAATTGCACACGGAGTGACCAAGATGGCCAGAACGGAGATCTTCCGAGCTGTACGAGGCCTGGCAGTGACTCAATTGGTGAGGGTTTGTCCCGATGCACCGCCCATGAACGGCGTGCTACGTGGACAGATTTACGTACAGAATTTGCCGTGCTCAGTGGTAGCCCATGTACTAGATCCACAACAAGGTGATGTGATTCTCGATATGTGCGCAGCTCCGGGCGGTAAAACTTCCCATGTAGCCACTTTGATGAGGAATACGGGAACGCTCGTAGCGTGCGATAGATCCAAGCGAAAAGCCTTAGAGCTACGCACGCTGTGTGAAGATCTCCATCTTGAGTGTGTAGAGCCATTGAAGATGGACTCTACACACGCATTGTTGCCCAAAGACAAGGTGGACGCGGCGCCGCGAGACGGAGACTTTACCAGCGTAGCGCAGGTTCTAGCACGAGCCAAGCAGAGTACACCACGCCAAACACGCTTGCTACAAGTAGAGGGGTTCTATCTCGAGACGTTTGATCGTATCTTATTGGATCCACCTTGCTCTGCGCTTGGCTTGCGTCCGAGGTTGTTGCATGCTGGCGACGCTGACAACCTGGCGGAGTACACGAACATGCAACGCAACTTCCTGTGGGTCGCGGCGTTCCTGCTGAAGCCTGGCGGAACCCTCGTGTACTCCACGTGCACGATCAACCCGAAGGAAAACGAGCAGATGGTGCATCACGCGCTGCAGAACTACCCATTGAAGCTGGTTTCTCAAGGCGACGCTCATCTTGGCGACCATGGTCTCTCTGGACAGGGTCTTAATGAGGAAGAAGTAGCGCTTGTACAGCGCTTCGACCCAGCGAATACTGAGCTAGACACCATGGGCTTCTTCTGCGCAAAGTTCGTCAAGACTGGACCCATTCGGCGAGATCTCAGCGCCTTAGAAGAAAACTCATAGATTTTTGAAATGCTGTGGTCCATTTGCTTCAATCTCTTTGTGTTGTTCCACAATAATCTTTTGGGTCCATACTGAGCTCTAGTAATTTGATTCCAGTGGTGTGGGCTCATTTTCAATTTGAGCAAATTGAGTCGCAATGGCTGTCCCGACCAAAGCTGCTGCGTTCGTGGCCTCGTCTCCGTGTTTCGCTGCCTTCCGCAGCGCGCAAGTGACGTCTTCACTAGCTGAGGGTGCAACCAAGAAGTACATTGGCACGCACAATGGCACGTTCCATTGTGATGAGGCGCTGGCTGTGTCGATGCTCAAGTTGCTGCCGAAGTTCGCGGCCCACGACGTGTTGCGCACCCGCGACGAGTCCAAGCTGGCCCAATGCGAGGCTGTCGTGGACGTGGGTGGTATCTACGACCCCGAAGCGCTGCGCTTCGACCACCACCAACGTACTTTCACGGGCACGTTCGACCAGCGCGACACTAAACTCTCGAGTGCCGGTCTGGTCTACAAGCACTTCGGCCGCGAGATCATCCAGCACTTGGCTGCACCTACGACGCTAGACGACGCTACTTTGGATATTCTACACCAGAAGGCGTATAAGAACTTTGTCGAGCACATTGACGGCATCGATAACGGCGTTGAGGTGGCTACTGCTGGAGATGCCAAACTGACCTACAACTATCAGGTGTCCTCCACTCTGAGCAACCGTGTGGGCTACTTGAATCCGCGCTGGAATGAGGATCAGAGTGAGAAGCGCGTTAATGAACAATTCCAACAGGCCATGTACATGACCATCTCTGAGTTCACTGACGCCATCCACGACCTCGTGCACTCATGGCTGCCTGCCCGCGAGATCGTGGAGAAGGCTGTGTCTAACCGATTCCAGACGCACAAGTCCGGCGAGATTGTGCACTTCCACGAGTATTGCCCGTGGAAGTCGCACCTGCACGACTTGGAAAAGAAGCTCATGATCCCCGGTCAGATCAAGTTTGTGCTCTACAACGATGCTACAGGCAGCATGACGCGCGTCCAGGCGCTCAATGTTGAGCCAGGCTCATTTGCACTGCGCAAGGGACTGCTCCAGGCCTGGCGTGGCCTGCGCGACGACGAGCTATCGCGTGTCTCGGGCGTCGAAGGCTGCACCTTCGTGCACAATGCCGGCTTCATCGGCGGCAACCGCACGTTTGAGGGTGCACTCGAGATGGCCGCCAAGTCGCTCGAGGCTCCTGAGGAGACCAAGTAAAGGACCTTAATCAAAAGAAACAGGTTTTAATGCAATTTTTGGATAAAACTTTGGAAGCACCGAGTAGAATCGTACCTAAATGCTAACACACGGTACAGCATCTGTAATTTACGCTCATAAAATACATGTATTTCAGCATTTGAAATCTCATGACTTTTGAAAAGTGACACACCCTCTCCCCCTTTCACCCATCCTCGTCCGTCCATTCCGGAAAAGCGCAAATTCAACACAAACCTGCGTTTTGGAGAGGATACTTCTGCAACAGTGTACGGCTATAAGGGGAATTAAATTGAGGTTCACGATGAGCTGTATACGTATTGACGCAATTTTGTTGTGCTTGTAAGGTTAGAGTCAAGTAGAAGCATGAGCGACAGTGAGCCCAAGCTACAAGTCCCACCGGACACTACGTGGGTCTGTCCGCCCATTGACGTCGAATGGCACGAAGACTGGGACGCTTTCCGCGCGTACATGGATAAGTACCAAGCGGAAACGCACCAGATCTTCCACCAGCGGACATCCGTCTCGGTTAAAAAGCGGAATCAAGAAATCTCTGGCCAGCCAAGGCTGCTTTAGACCGCTTCGCAAACACCTACAGCCCCGGTGGTGTAACGGGCCTAGAGTGTCCGTTACTAGCTTACACGTAATAATGAGGAAGCGTGCAAGTTCCGCGATAGTGAAACCAAGTGCTTAGTCTGAAAGAAAATCAACTCTGTTTTTATTTAGGTCCAGGGCAGCTTGCCCTGACCACTCAAATACACGTCAAACCCTTATTGGCTGATAATGGGTCTGGCTCCCCATATATCAACCAATAGGATGAAGGCAGTTCAGCACACGCTAGCCGTGTGCTGCTGCACCTACTTTTGTAATATAAATCTACCTACTTATGTAATGGCGTGGCCCACTACATCACCCCCCTCTTAAAGTTGCACGTACGCAACATAAGCGACGGGCGAGGAACAAATCAATCAAAAGGGAAACGAAAAGAAAATCGTGGCCAACAGGAACGAACGAGGCGGGGACGAGACAGATCCTGCGCCACGCAAAAGAAGTACAACACGACTTGCACAGCAGACAACAGGAGCGGACGATGGAACAGCAACAGCAGCAGATTCCAGCGACGGCGACGTCGCTGACGAGCGCGACGACCGCGGCACGCGGCACCCACGTGATGAACGAGGCGCTGAGACCCTGGGCCCTGTATGACAACTCCGGAGCGCAAGATCCGGAGTCTCTGGACGAGATGAAGGACCTCTTCCGGCGTTTTCGTGCGCTGCGCCAGAAGCCGGTGGACGGCGTCGACCACAGTGCGCTACAGGAGTCGTGGTGCGCCTTCATCCGGCGCTGGAACCGGACGCAAGCGCAGAAAGAGAATCTCGTCGACTGGATCGCATACCGGGAAGAAATCATCGGGGGCCATTCCTTGGGCGAGCTGCGCGTACGAATCTGCGACAGCGCTTGGAACGCCGACGACCGCATCTGCTACGTGCGAGTTGCTGAAGGCTGCAGGAGGTGTGTGTCGTCTCGCCCGACTACGGACGAGTGGAGAGCCCATGTCGCCGAGCATCCGCTCAGTGATCGCGAGAATGCCTGGATCCAGCGTTACCGTCGCTCGCTGTCCGAAAAGGCCAGTGCCGCTAGTCGCGCCGGCTCGCGCCGACACTCATCTCGACGAAGCGCATCTCCGCCGCTCCGTTGGGATTTCGAGAACTCGGGTCGTCGTTCTCGGTCGCGCTCGCGCGATCGCCAGCAGCGTCGTTCTCGATCACGTTCGCGTGGTCGTGCAGACTGGAGATCTCGTTCTCGGCCGCCGCGTGATTATTCGCGGCGCTCTCCGGCGCAGGAAGACTGGAGTCGTACTCTTGGATCACATCCGAAACATCGCGAGGGAGATTCGCGCGGGGCCCCCACGTATATGGTCCGCCGGAAAGCCAAGCCATCGTACCCTATAGCGGCGCGCGGCGGGAGCCGTGCGACTGGTGGACACATGGCGCTGCCCCGACCGACGGGGCGGGTCTTTGTGATCGACAATCTTCTCGACTTTCCAGCGGATCTCGCCAGCTGAGTCGACAATCGGCGGGGGACCGTCCCGCTGATACGACTGACGTTCTGGTTGGGAGCCGCGAGGAAGATCTCGCGGGGAGCTTCTGGACGGCGTATCAGGAGGCGGAGGAGGCCCCGGACGCGGCTGCAAAGGCCGTGAGGACTGCGACTGAGACTCGTCAGTCGAATCGGGAACTCTTGGCGCGCGTGAGGCTTCTTGAGCGCGCGGTACATGGTAGTCTGCAGAGCGGGACGGTGGAGCAGGCGCCTGGTGTGAATGGCGCGATGGCTCGGCGCGCGCGTCGGGCGGGGCGGCCGTAATATGCGCCGGCGGCTCAGGAGACTGAGTCGAAGAAGGTATCGTAGCGGGCAGGTATTGCTTGAGTCGTCCGACGTAGAACGTTTTGCCCAGCATACTTTTTTGTTGTATTAAATAATTTTGTTGTATTAAAAAAGGAGCAATCGCCAGATTTACACCCGAAGAGACTGTAAGGAAGACAAACAAAAATAAATTAGCATCAGATAAAAATAGAAATCACCAATCAGATGCGCTGTGTGGAGAGTGTCACCTCGGTTGGCTCGACGTCGCTGTCTTCGTCGAAGAGGTCCAGGTCGCTGTCACCCTCATCTGGCGTCGGTTCTTCTTCTGGGGCGACATGCGGGAAGATCGCAAATTCTAAAAATGAGAGGATTTTGAGATCTGTGGTTCACGGTCCGGCTCAATGACCTGTTACGATTAGCCCGCGGTTCGCTGGTATTTTACGGAAATTTATTTTTTTCGAAGCTGCGCAACATGCGTTTATTAAGTTGCATTTCGACTTCGTTGAGCTCTGTTAATTTTAAGAAAACATCGATCCTTACAGCAACATACAGGCAGCATGTGTATTTATGTTGCTGAAAAAATCCTGTTATAATCGATATGTAGAGAATTTGCCCCCCATTTTGAGAATTTCAGCGCGAGGAAGCCTAACGTGTAAATATTGCGAGTGTTCGCTTGACATGACGGACGAGGGGATCGCACCGGCGAGCACCGGTACGATTTTGTATACTTTGCCAGTAGAGCGAGGTAGGCTGCATGTCTGTGTGGTGCCGTAGAGACTCCCATAGTGTCAGCTCGCTTTCTGCTCCCTGCTCCATACATCACTTGTTCTGGTTAACAGGGTGGCACATGTATGCACTAGTAACAACATCTAACCTACTCTACTTAATCCAATGTAGGCAGAACGCCAACGGCGCAACAGAAGCCCGTGGTGCGTGGCAGATATGCCAAGTTCAATGGCACCATGGACGTGATGCTACTGGAGGCGCTACAGATCAACAATCCGTTCACAGCCAAGCATGGCACGAGGCTGCAAATGTGGCAGAATGTGGCCGAAGCTATTGGCATGCAGGTGTTTAAGAACCCAGCAGCCTTCTCATGGCACACCTGCCGGTAAGAAAGGAGCTGATCGATATATTGAAACAATGTTCACTAATATTTAATTTTTTAATATTGTAGTGATCGCGTGACGGCGCTGATGAAAATGTATACAGATGGCAAGCACGACAAGTTATTTAAACACGGTACGATGGAGGAGAATGCACGCAAGGAGACAATTCTGCGTGAGATCAATGAGACGCTTCTTCGAAAGAATCACAAGATGGCAGGACAGACAGTTGTGGACGGCAACGGCAAGGAGAGAGTCGTCGGAGCGAAAAGTGATGGCACAACGGATACTTCTGCTACGACCCCCACGACTTTGGCGCAGAAGCGACGGAAATTGGAGAATTCCGCAAGTGGTAAAGTGGTTGCTGTGTCGGACGCTCATGAGATTAGTAGCAGCGAGAACTTCCGTGCGCGGGTTCTTGAGCTAATTGAGAGCAAGATTCAATTCGATATGGATCAGCGACAGAAGGAGACGGAGCTTCGGGAGCAGGAGTTCGAGCTGCAGAAGCGGTTCCTGGAGTATTTACAGTCCAAGTAGAGCTGCATACATTAATGCGATGGCTCTTGAAGCCATTAAAAGAGCAGAGTCAAATGTGTTGGCATAGTACGTACAAGAGGGTGAATTGACTGCTCACATTAGTCTCGTGTTTCTTCTTCGTACTGTGGCCTAAGTTGTAGCTTTGCAGTCTGTCTGGTTGTCATCGAGAGCTTTGGCCTCTTCCTGCATACTCTGCAGCAACTTCGCAATGTTCTGCTTGAGTTCACTAAACTCCTCTTTCCCTTCTTGAGAGTCCCATTCGTCTAAGTTCTCGTCGTGTCTTCCTTTGGCTTCATTTCGATCTTCTCCATCACTGTCTAGCTCGTCGTCGTCGTCGTCATCGTCGTCCTGTTCTGGTTTCGCTGTTTTGTGATCGCTCTTTACTCTTCTATTGTTTTTACGTTTTGGAGACGACAAGGGCGACTCCTTTCGATGTCTGCTATCGTAATTCAAGCCCGTTTCTTCTTCAAAGTGGTCAATGTCTTCTGTGATCTCTTCTTCGTCGTCGTCGTCCAAGCCTTGTCGGAATCGCCCCTGCATATTGGCCTCGAAGTCTTTCACTTTCGCTGCCAGGTCGTTCAGCGCACAGGATAATTCCAGCTCGGCATCCTCGTCAACGCTGCCTGTGCTACTGTTGTCGTCTACCGTCAAGTCCATCTTCTTCGCTGTTGCGTCTCTTCAAGATCGCAAGTTTCATGTGGTTCACATATCCGGATAACTGGCCGTGCTTGTGACAGTTTATAACGGAGACCATGGCAGAGCTACCGGAGATCGACATGGCGTACGACTGCGACGTGTACGAGCCAGCAGAAGACACGTACTTGTTCGTTGACGCACTGCAAGACGAACTACCTCAATTAGTGGCTTTGAACCCGGCGATCTGTGTGGAAATTGGGTTGGTGGAGGCAATTAACTCAAAAGATCATACTCGTTTGACTCAATGAATTATGACACATTGGTAGATGTGGAAGTGGCGCGGTGTTTGTGTATTTAGCGACGCAACTGCAAAAGATGGGGACGAGAGCGATGTTCTTGGCCACGGATATCAACCCGTTAGCTGCTGGAGTTGCGCAACAAACGGCAAAGAATAACGGAGCTGAAGCGTTCGACGTCGTGCGGACAGACTTGTTGCAATGCTACGAGCCGCGGATACAGGTATGGAGACAAGCTGCAATAGCGCTGCTTGTCGCGTTCTCCATGACAGGTAAATTGCAACACAGGGACACGTTGACGTGCTGCTGTTCAATCCGCCGTATGTGCCTACACCATCTGAGGAGGTTGGATCAACGTAAGTGGTCGACTTTCATTAAAGAGAAAGTGAAGTTATAGTTGGAGTGTTTGGTACTAATGTATGTGTTATTGTAGTGGAATTGAAGCCGCGTGGGCTGGTGGACTCCACGGACGTGAGGTTATTGACCGCTTGTTGCCCAAAATCAATGATCTACTGTCGCCGCAAGGCGTTTTCTACATGGTTGTAGTAGTAGAGAACAAACCCAAGGAAATCGCTGCTATTCTCGCTAAAGATGGCTTCGAAATGACGGTGAGTCATGATCATGGTTCGTGATCGGTGCATTTATGAGCAAGCGGTAACGCAGCTGTCTGGTGTTCTAGGTTGTTCGCTCAACCAAGGCCAAAAACGAGCGACTTTCTATATTAAAATTTAAGCGGAAGGACTTATAACTAAGTAACTGCAAGCATTTTGTTTGTAACACAATAGATGCGTCTCATGTTGTCAACCACCCGACAATCCAATATGCAGTTTAATGCTGCTGATTGACAAGGTCATTGGAAAAGCCTTTATGATAATTGCTGACAACAGTGACTATACCATGAAGTCGTTATCCTCTCCATCTTGACCGAGAATATGGTCTTAGGTGGCTCCGGTGCTACCAACCAGACTCATTATCAAGTCAGCACGGTGCTCAAACGCCTGCCTCTACCGCTTCAAAGGAGAAGCTGAACATGGATCTCAAGCACAAGTCAACCTATGACTGGCTACATGAACAGTATGATCTGGCTGACATTCGGCAGTCTATTGTAGCAGCTACGTGATCTCGATCCCCGATAAACTCTTATTACTACCTGCACTCAAGAAAGGGTGTGACGAGAACAAAGACTCATAATAACACCCACGCACAGATACATCCCTAAACAAAGATGACCACGACGTGAAAAAAAAAAAACTAGATACTGTACGAAACATACAGCATATTCGCTGTCTTTGCATTGGATTTTAGAGAGCTTAGATGTTTAAAGCCGGATCATCGTAGTGACCACCATCTACGTGCATATTGTCGTTAACCTACGTGGCCAAGCACAACCCCGCGAAGGCGATCACCACTGCAAAAGGTAGATGCACCGTGGAGTCCACGGCGTGGACGCTCAGCGTTTTGGGGCCATTTGTTTCAATGCGTAACACACTGCATCCTTCCAGTGGAAACTGGTACGACATTAGCTTACATGCCGCGCACAATTATAAAGCCTCGCATCGACAATTACTGACGAACGCCTAGTTGAAGCAAAATCTCCATACTGAAATCCAGATGCCATATGGTCAGCATTGCAACCTCTCATTGGAGGAATATGAAAAGTCCCATCGCTCCATTGGTTAAAATCCATTTCCGACCCAAAAGAATCCACGTTTTGTGCTGGATACATTCCAGGCTCAACTTTTTGAGCACAATCGCCTTCAAACCCCGCAATTCGCAAACCTTTCATACAGCATTCCACTATTTAACCCACCCTTTACTAACTTCAATTATTTTACTCTCTATAAACCAATACAATTATCATCAATCATCTGTAAAATCCGCTCCAAAATTCCATCACCACCAGTACAATACGCACAGAGCAAAAACACCGGGGAAGGGGGACAAGGCAAAGCGAAAGAAGGAACGCAAGACGCCCCGCTCTCTACCATGTCGAGCAGCGGCAGCATGCGCAGCCCGGGGCAGGGCGGCGCCATCAGCAAGCGCTTTAACAAGGCGCGAAGACGCGGTAACAGCCAAGGGGAGGCTCTCTCCAGCGGTAGCGGCAGTACCTTCGGGGGGATGAGTCCCGTGGGTAGCTTCGGTAATCGTAACACCATCAGTTTCGGCAAGACGGCGCTGTCCTCGTCGCCCGCGACGACTCCGGGACAGCACATGAGCTCCATCAAAGACGACGCGTCGGGCTTCGTGTCCAGTAAGACGGGGTTCCTCACAAAACGCGCCATGTCGAGCATGGACGCGTTCGCTAACTGGAAGGAGCGCTTCTTCGTGCTAGCGGAAGGCCATCTGTCCTACTATAAGCAAGGCGGAGGCTTCTTTAACACTGGCAAGGAGGACATTGTCCATCTGAAGAGTGAGCTAGAGCTCACGCCCGATACGATCGTGCGGAAGAGCAATATTGACGACAAAGCCAATTGCTTCGAAGTGGTGACACCCACTAAGAAAATGTTCTGTCAGGCCAGTACGGCCCGAGAGATGGAAGATTGGGTCAAGTCGGTACGAGCTCATATTAATGCGCTTAAGAAGACCCAAATGCGAGGCAGTTTCCACGACGCGCCACCTGTGAACCTCGGCGCTTCGGGAGGTCCGGGGGTTATGGCAGGCATGGGAGCATTGCTGCAAGGTAGCTCCATGGACACGGACTATTCGCGTCCCAGTATGCTGGAAGACCATGAGATCGTCCGTGGCGCTGACAAGTCGTCGGATCCTAAGGACATTGTGATCAAGCAGCTATTGGAAGAAAATCGGACGTTGCGCGAGCAATTGACGATGAAAGACCAAGTGATTCACGAGCTGGAAACCAATGGAGGACGCTCTCTGGAAGCTCCAGCGGTGGGCGCAGGCAAATTGAGATCCACGGCGCCGCAGATGATTCTGGATCTACGAGACGTGAAGAAGAAACAATTCCAGCTTTTTGATGCTGCTGAAGTGGGCAATTGGCACTTGATTGCCACGTTGCTACGGGATAACGTGGTGGATGTGAACGGCGTGGGGATTAACCAGACGTCGGCGCTGCATTTGGCTGCGCGGAACAATCACCCGAATGCAGTTAAGGAGCTGCTGGCGCGTGGAGCGGACCCGTCTGCACGTACGGGAGATAGCTACACGGCGCTGCATATCGCAGTGCAAGCGGGCAACGTCGAGTACGCGTGATGGGGGCTTATCCTGTATGATGCTGTTTAAAACTGATTTTTTTGTCTTATCCTGTATGTTATTTAGATGTGTCAAGGAACTCTTAGATGCAGGAGCAGACCCGAATGTGACGGACTACCAGGGTAACGCTGCCATCCACATGGCTGCTGAATCAGGTGATATCCCCGCGGCGAAGCTCTTGGTGGCTCGTGGCGCTCGTATTGATGCGCCCAACGCGAGTGGTAGTCTCCCAGTGCACTTGTCGCCGATTGGCCACCCGATTCGTGTGCTTCTAGGCAGCGGATCGAACTTAGCGGCGACGAACCCGTCGCAACCTCCCAAGCCACGCAACGAGATGGCTGCGCGTGAAGGGAACGCGACGCAGGTTAGCCACTTGGCCTTTAAGAACAAGTACCAGAAGGATCTCGCTCTAGGACCGCGTGATTTCGAGTTCGTCAAGGTCCTTGGACGCGGTGCGTTCGCTAAAGTGTATCTGGTACGCGGTAAAGGTTCGAACCGAGACAAGTGGTACGCTCTGAAGGCGTACAACAAGCAGGCGATCGTGCAGAAGAACCAGGCGCAGTATATCCACACAGAGAAGGCAGCACTGCAAGCGTGCTCGGACCACCCGTACATTGTGACGCTATACTACGCGTTCCAGTCGCAGGACCGTCTGTTCCTAGTTATGGAGTACTGTGGCGGGGGCGACTTGCTCTCGGCGCTGACGCGGCGGAAGGCGTTCACCGAGAGCGAAGCAGCCTTCTACATTGGCGAATCGCGCTGGCGCTGTCGCATCTGCACTCGAAGAACATCGTGTTCCGTGATTTGAAGCCAGAGAACGTCGTGATGGACTTGGACGGCCACTGCCTGCTGACGGATTTTGGTATCTCGAAGGAAGGTATCAAGGATCACACGTCGGCCAACACGTTCTGTGGCTCCCCCATGTACCTCGCACCGGAGATGCTGTCGCGTTCTGGCCACGGCTTCGCTCTGGACTGGTACTCGGTCGGTGCTCTACTCTTTGAGCTGCTTACAGGCCTCCCGCCCTTCTACACGAACGACAAGAAGCAGCTGTTCCACAATATTCTACGTGGCCACTTGGTGATCCCAGAGTACTTGTCGGCTAACGCGCGCGACCTTATCCAGAGATTATTGCATCGGGACCCCAAGCAGCGACTGGGATCTGGTCCTACAGGGGACCGCGAGATCTTTGACCACCCATTCTTTGCCAGTGTTAACTGGGAGAAACTCAAGGCGCGTGAGCTGTCGCCTCCGTTCCAGCCCAAGATCAAGAAGGACCCGTCTGGAGTGCCGGATACCTCGAACTTCCCGCAGGCGTTCACGGACCAGGAGATCTCGGAGATGGAGCGCGGATTCGACCTGATGGACCCGAACGCCGCCCAGGTGCAGCGCCCCAACCCGAACGGACATAAGGACGACAAGCGTCTGTTTAAGGACTTCGACTTCACCCCGGAGCTTCAACTGGACAACGAGGCCAAGCAGTTCGAGCAGCTGGCACTTCAACAGAGCAGCTTTAAGAACCTGCCGCCGCCAGCTCTTATCGAGACAGACGAGTACAGCATCTAGATGCGCACCGGGAAATAGTCAACGTCTGCTCAAGGAAGGCAGCCGACTGCGCCCTGCAGACAAGAGGAGAGTGTGTGAGCCCCCCTCCCCCTTTTTAAACATGCCAGTGGACGAAGAAATGAACGAAGATAGGCAAAGGATTCGTCAGGGTAGCGAAGTTGGAGTTTACATGAATGTAGGAGGACGCTCTTCGTGCTTGCCCTAAAGTGGGGAAATCAAATGACAGGACACAAAACGTTTATTTTTTTTTGAAGTTAAGCTGTATGGTAGTGTTGGCAATTGATATTCACCGTTAATATCAGCTAAATTAGCTGAATGGGTTATTAATCGTTAATAACAATGAATAACTAATTTTCACAGTGACAATTCAAACAAACAATCGGGCTACTGTACAACCGACTTCCACTCGCATAGCGATGCGGTTATGGCAAGGAGAATTGAGCATGGGTATGCACTAGTCGGAGAGCGCTACAAATCCGAAGCTATGCGGTAGCTACCTGGATCTGTTTGCCGAAGACAGCGGCTGTAGTGCGACCACAATGCACTCTGCTCCCTCAACTACGGCGTACTCTTGCACCGCAGTAGACCGGGGCATTGTCTTCGACTACTTCTCGTGTTCACCGTAGAGATCAAGCTCAACGCCTGCTGCTGCATCTTTTGCGGTACAGACTGTCAAATAATGCGCTCCCAAGGCTTCGAGGAAGGCGATCGTTCGAGTGGACAGCCTGAGAGGCTACAACGTATTCTTCGAGGAAACGCAGGTGACTATGTGTTATTGTTTCTTAGAAATTTGATGTGTCTGCGGCACTCGAGCAGTTATTATCGTGAGGTACCAGTAATTATGAGGGAAATTAGTTGACGGAGCTCATAACGCAAGAGCAAGAAGCCAAGAGTACGCACATCGGTCACGACGCTAGCTACTGCCATTCCGAGATAATTTCTATGGGATGATGGAGTCTTTACCAGGCACAATTTTGGATTGGTTCTTTCACGGAAAAATCTGTGAATGTTTGGTGCAATGCAAGCACCGCTACCTGAGATGGTTGGAAGATCCGAGCCGAGGATAAGGTATTGCGGTCAAGTGCAGCCGAAACATCAGTTAGCGGTATGAAACCCTAAAGATATCGCGATCAGTAGCACTACAATATTTGTCGACATAGTTGTGCGTGAGTCTTGCTAACTCTATTGCTTCTATTGTGATAGTCTAGCATTTCAAATTGCAAAATGATCAATAACTTGGAAACGCTAGGAAGGTAATGCACTGGAGCAACAATTTTGCAGCTTACAGATGATTTTGCGCTAAACGCTGATCTGGAAATGAAGTCGTGGTCATGAAGAAGGGAAAATTGATGAAAAGAAGACTGCCTCGTGCTCAAAGTTGCATACACCCAGTGAGGAGAGCTGACAGTGCAGTCATTGAGACTCCCTTTCATGGATGAATTTAATTTTTTGAGTGGCGAACTATGATCGGTCAGCTTTCTGCATTGAAATGGTGCACCGGGCCCGGCGAGCACCAATACCGGCTCGTCTCGAGTGTGTTTGTGGATGCAACGGTGTTGACTATCATCTTGTGTGTGTGCGGTAGTATTTTGAGAAGGGAATTATATATATTATTTGTTTTGCCGCTCAATCTATCTTGTCTGGCATATCGGTTGCTCTCGTCCATTGAAAACTGGAGTGGTGAATCTATCATTAAGACTTACCTCTTGAAGTACTGCTGTTGGTGATCCAGAGCCAGTTGGTTTTGTCCGCAGATGCCTTGTTGTGGGTGATGGCGATTGGTAGTCGTTTGTGAGCTCCCCACTATCATCTTCGCTATCGTCGCTGCTATCGCTGGAGTCACTACCGTCACAAGCTTCAGGAAAGAGCTGGTACATGATATGGTTCACTTCAGTTTTCCGAGCGATATTGGTGTACACGAAAACGAGTCTGCTAACCCGCTCAGGAGTAAGGCGATTGCGCAGTTTAGTGTGAATAAATCCGTGGATGCTCCAGCTACGCTCACTAGAAGCTGACGATGTCGGTATTGATAATAGTAGCTTCGCAAACGACTGCACCAGACGGTATTTGGTATCAGGAAGTGACCACCAGTTCAATGGGCTGAACCGATTGTTGTCTAAGCGCTCCGTCCCTTTCCAGCTACATTTTTCCAGAACGAATTCTTGCAGCTCATTGTGGAACGTATCCTCCTGAGATCGATCGACAAGCTCTAGTTTCCTGGCAAGTTCAGTAGCATCAGTTATCAGTTTTTTTGAGTCGTGCCCATCCATCGATTTTGTTTGGTCCAGCATATGGGCAATCCCCAGTGGCTTCCAGCAAATTTTCTTTTTTCTGTCCTCGATTGCGCGAAGCACCTGCAGCTGAAGTTCCGTACTACATCCATCCAAGGATTTTGTGTAGACATCGTGAGTACGCAGCCAACTGAATTGGTGGTAAACAAGCGAAATACTGCAATCATCACGCTCAAAGGCAGCAAGGCTCGTGTTGATAGGCCGGATTATAGCGACTGTAACAGCAGCGTCTTGCCAGAACTCCTCATCCTTGAAGGTCTTCGTCGCTTCTTCCAGGTCTGAGCCCTTGTAGTTCCTTCGAAAGGCTGTGTCGGAAAAAATAGCAGCAATGACATCTCGATTTTGAACCACGTTGGCGATACATTTCTCATGGGTGTACCAGCGTGTTGCCACCGTCAGCGAGAGACGACGGCGTTTTTCTCCTCGCTTCTTAAGTTGTTTTTAAGTATCCCGAAAACGCGACCACAGGCCACGCCGACCCCTGATGAAACGAGCTAGGGCTTGTGCCTTGTCGAGGACGTCTTTAAAAAACTTCATTTTAAAGATGTCTTTTATCAGCAGATTCATTCCATGCGCTGCACACCCAGTGCACACCATACCTTTGCGCTCCATCCGGACAAGCTTCCAAGCCTTTTTCATATTCGCGGCGTTGTCGGTAACGACGGCGGTAACTGCCCCAGCTCCGACCGCTTCTTCAAGCTCGATGATAGTGGATAGAATAGTGTCTGCAATATAACGCCCGGTGTGTACCTCAGCTCTCGTATTAATTGATTTCCAAAAGACAGGAGGAAATTTAGGATTCACAAAAACAAAATTAGTGATACTGTCACCATTAACGTTGGACCAGCCATCCGTCACGAGCGTCCACCCGGAAACTCCACTCATCAAAGCAATTATCCGGTCCATCTCACGCTTGAAAATTAAATCCAACAGACGCCCTGAAAGCTGCCGGCGAGATGGAAGCTTGTAATCAAACATAGCACGGAAATGAGGGTTGTCAATCACTCGAAAAGGAATACCGGTAGCAATGAACCCCATAGCAACCCGTAAGAAATTGTCCTCCTCACTCTGCTTGATCGACTTGTTTAAAGAACTGCGTGGTCTCTTGCGTGAGCCCGTGCGTGGAGACCCACTCTGGGGTGTATGGAATAAGCGCTTACTAATAGACGACGGAGTTTTAGCTGAGCGTCTTGCTGGGGTCAGCAGCTTAGATGCTTTTTCGTGACGACGCTGTGAGTCATACCGAAGCCACCACTGTTTCGACTCAGCGTCGACCTTGTCACACTTCAACACGTGTGTGAGCATGTTACGCGAAGGCTGCGCATTCTTCAGCACCTCGCCACATGCATTGCGGCTGGCGTCCGGGTGGGGCTTAGCTCCTTTGACGCGGGCAACTGCAACGGTGTAAAGCCTCCATATCTCATGCTGTGACGGTGCCATACTGTTGAGCGCTCGTATTAAGCTCACACCCTGTATCAGACTGTGTCAATATGTTTGAAAGCGACTTGAACGTCGCACACACGCGCGAGAATTGGTGTACCGTCAGAAGGGGCTATATCCAGCAGCGTCGGGCTGAGCTTTTGTGGAGATGAACGGAGCTTGCACAACACAACTAGCGCCCCCGGACTTCAACCTACTGGCAGCATCACCATACGCCAGAAATTGAACATTCGATATTCACAGTTAATATTAATGTTAACTTGGGAATGTAAACGATTATAATCGCTAATATACCTGTTAATAGTCGTGAATTGCCAACCCTACTGTATGGTATAGGCTAACAGAGATAGCTAAACCGGCATATTGCAGGATAAGATGTCGCAAAGCGGTACGCAACAGGTTAGGAATGTTTTTTTTTTATTTAAGTTGAAAGTACAATTGGTGAGGACATTGCTTCGTACTGGGGACTACGCTCGTTATAGTTCTTGTTGTCCTTGATATCGGCGTCCGAGCTGTCCACGTGGATGTGGAGCTGGACGTACTCTTCGGAGTTTTTGTTTGTGTTGGAGTCCCAGTCGTCTTTGAGAGGGTGCGTCTTGGGGTTGTAGATATGATACAACACGAGTGTAAATGAGCTCATGGAGAAGAACAAAATGTTGATGGAGATCATGAACCAATTCTGGATCAAAGAGCCGTATGTCAACCAGATCATGTTGTTGGCGTAACCAGCAAGTACCATCGGCAAATTAATGAAAACGGCGGATTTGTGCTTGAGAACTTGGAGTAACTTCTCCATCGGTGCGCAGTACAACCATAGACTAGCAGCATCGGCGAAGAAGCCGAGTATAGTGCTGACACGTGACAAGACTGGTTTGTGTGTCCAAGACCACCGACGATGGCGTAGATACTCAGGATGGTAATAATGACAATAGCTGTAGTGATTGAGCGTACCACGTATGTGCGATTGTCTGAGTAGCGGTAGTAGACAGTTAAGTAGATAATGGCAGCAAAATCACCGACAAGGAAGCACGAGAAGACTGGGAAGTACACCTTTGCCAGGTCAAGATGGTGCTACTCCATTTCAAAGTGATGAAGTAACTAAACCTTTTTAAAAATTATTCTTAATTTTTACATTAGAGTTTATGTCACTTCACAAATATGTCGAGTAAACGCACTCCGTACTTCAAAGTGGTTTATTCGCAGTTCAAAGCGGATCAACCCTCCTGAGCGTGTGCGCGAGCACTTCATTGCCATTCCTCGTTCTCTCTTATCAATCTTTTCCCAAGCCCTCAACCAAGCCAAGCCTCTACCTACCCCAAGATGCCCAGAGCCCCGCACCTCGCATTTGTTAGAGCTCGTGTCCTCGACTGCCTCCGTGTCGGCGGTGACTGGACGCTTGTGGCCGCCCGCAACGGAATCCCCGCCACCACATCACGTCGATTTGTGGAAGCAAACGGAAGCACACGTCGCTGAACGAGCCGACTTGGTACTTGTACGGCTGGCTC